AGTCCATCATGCAGGGTAAAACACTATCCAAATGGTAGCAATGCCATGTCACCCCTCTAGTAAAAGTGGGAACCACTTGAGGTAGGGTCCATTTTGAAGCTTAGTGCTGAGCAACTCAATCTTCATTTTTAAATAAATGCTTGCTTAATTCATGAACAAATGTCTGCCAGGCCTTAATTCAGCCCTGATTATTTATATGTATTGCTATGCAATTTTCTAATCACTCTCCATGGTGGTCTTTCATTTAAGGTGACCAACTGTCCTGGTTTTCCTAGGACTAAGGGAATGTGGGGATTTCTGGGGGGGACGGGTTATTGTCTTTTTTTTTTTTTTGTCCCCATCATGGCATGTTTTGTTTGTTTGTTTTTGTGGGGGAGCAGGATCTCACTCTCTTGCCCAGGTTGGAGAACAATAGTGTGATCGCAGCTCACTGTAGTCTTGACCTCCTGGACTCAAGTGATCCTCCCACCTCAGCTTGAGAAGTAGCAGGAACCACCAGTGTGTACCATCATGCCTGGCTAATTTTAAAACTTTTTTTTTTTGAGATGGAGTCTCGCTCTGTTGCCCAGGCTGTAATGCAGTGGCACAATCTCAGCTCGCTGCAACCTCCACCTCCTGCATTCAAGCAATCCTCCTGCCTCAGCCTTCCAAGTAGCTAGGATTACAGGTGTGCCACCACACCTGGCTAATTTTTGTATTTTTCATAGAGACAGGGTTTCACTGTGTTGGTCAGGCTGGTCTCAAACTCCTGACCTCAAGTGATTCACTCGCCTCGACCTCCAAAGTGCTGGGATTACAGGCATGAACTACCGCACCTGTCCAAATTTAATTAAATCTTATAAGTAATATATTAGTAATTCAGAATGTCAATTTCAAATATTTCTGTTACTTTCCTAGGGCAGCCCCTTCCCTGCTTAAGATACATGAGAATGAATGGAAAGGGAGTAAGTGCTGGAGGCGGCCGTTACTTGGGGGTGAGTTGTATGTTGGATTTCAATGGACTCTCCACTGAGGAGCCCATTTTCTATGGAAATCTAGAATGTTTGCAACTGGTGGAGACCAGGATAAGGCTTAATGGACTTACCCACCAACTCTTTGTCCAGTGTCTCTGCTCACCACGTGCTCCCCACCCACTGCATGTGCTCACCACCTCTTCACATCTCACTTTCCAAAGTTACAGCCTCTAAGTTTCAGATTCATTTACACAGCTCTATTTTTGCCTATGTGCTTCCTGATATAGATCTCCGTGTCATGCATGTTTGAGGGTCCCTGTGGTCACATCACACTGAAGCCTGGTGACATTACATTAGCTTTAAATGGCTAATTTTCTCTTATTTAGTTGCAGAGAAGTTTCTGTTCCAGGTGTGAGCACTGGCCCAACTCCGGGCTTTCTCTCTAATGTTTCTGCAGCAGTCTTTGTCTCTCAATCTCTTCTGTGGCTTACAGCCTCTCATGCCACAGGGACTTTTCACTACCAGCACCACCTGCTGTCCTGATTCCCAGAGGCCTCCCTCCCTTCCCACCTGGCCTCCGAGCTGCCCTCTAGTTGACACACTTAGGGTTTTGCAGGCTGGCCAAGAACAGGGAGGGGCTGCCCTGGTTTGGGGTGATGGGTGATCTGGAAATAGCCTTGGGGGAGGGATCTGGTTCTGAAGTTAGCACAGAAGGCTTTGTCTTTGCTTATAATGCCTGGCACTTAGCAGTCAGGAAAAAGGGGTGTCTGCAGGTCCATTTCCCCACCAGGGTATGTATTCACCCCTCTGGGTTGGTGGCTGCAGTACAAACCAGACATAACTTTTATTCTGGACTACCTGGTGTTTTCTCCTGCCTGGGGGCTTTACATGCTGCTTAACTGGATCCTCCAAAGGAGGGCCTGGGTGTTGATTACGACCTGGAGGTGGGCCTGCTGGCCACACACATACAGCAGCCTAGCTAGATGTGCCAGCTTGTGATCCCCCACTCAGCACCAGCAACTCGTGCAGGTGCCTGGAAAAACTAAAGCAAGGTTGGTCATCAAGGGCAGGGAAGGAAAGGTGGAAGGCTGAGGCAAGGAATCTAGTGGTGCGGGAAGTAGGAGAGGAGCTGAGAAGGGACCAGGTGCACACTGGTTTTCACTGAAGTCATTTTCCTTTCTTCTGGAAGAAAAGGCAGCTGGTTCACACCAACCAGGCTGGCTGTCCCTAAGTCAGCCCCCTGAAGACACTGGTAACTGATAGTGACAGGCTGCTTGTCTTGGCTGTGATGATAACAGGCTTGTGGCCTCTCTACCACCCCTCAGTCAGCCTAGGGCCTGGCTTCTGATGGCCTGCTCTCTGCCCATCAGTCCTGAAAGGGTCCCCTCTGTTCATAGGGGTCGGCCTGTATACTACTCTCTCTGTTCACATGTAGAACTTTATGAAAGATAAACAGGTTCATACTTACCTGGCAGGGGAGATAACCATGAAAGATAAACAGATTCACAGAAGGAAAAGTATATTCCCAGGCCAACAATAGTGAGCAAGTACAGTTGTCCCTTGGTACCCACAGGGCATTGGTTCCAGGACATCCTGCTGTATAGTACTTGAAATCACCTCTAGATTACCTGAAATACCTAATACAAGGTAAATGCTATGTTAATCATTATACTGTATTGTTTTTAGTTATTGTATTTTAAAAATTAATATCTACCACTTCATAGGGTTGTGAAGATTGAACAAAATAATGTACTTCTCACAGCATGTGTGCATATTAGAGCCTAATAGGGCCCTGACAATCCTCCATGCTCTAGGGAAAACCTGCTTTGCCCTTTTTATCCTGGAGATTTAGGTGGTGTGCACCTGTGGTC